GCTGCTTCCCCCCCCCCCAATTCTTCTGTAGGAAGAGGTTTTTCCAACATTTGGCCTGTCTAGACTGGACCAAATATCAGAAAAAACCCCTTCTTTTGGACGGGAAGAGAGATTTAAAATGATGTGTTTACTGCACGCCGGCCACACGGCTTTGCATCTCAAGCTGCTCTAAGTCACAGGCCTACAGTCTTCCACACACAAACATACCAGCTACTATGCTAATTTTACTTTATAAAGGTCAGGCCCTTAATTTCCTAAATGCGAGCAGCTCCGCCCCAGTAGAACAAGCTAGGAATCACCATCTCACTGAAAGCCCCAAATTTAAGGGAATGAACTGAACATGTTGTGACAACCAGCAGCTGCCAGTCAAGGATTCACAGGGCAAGCTAGGTCTCTGACCCTTCCACAGCTTCTCATAAGTGCACTCTTCTTCGGATTGGTCTACTCTTCATAATTAGACTGACCAAGCTCCTTTGCTCAGGGTTGTGCAAAAGGTCATGTTCTATTCGATATACTTAGGTCGACATAACCCCTAGTGTAGATATAGCTGAGAAAAACACCTCTTTCAGATGCATTACACATTAATTTTAAAAGCCTGTGTTAATGTAGAAAGCATCTACTCTTGACTGACAGATACAGAGACTGCAGTGTAAACATACACCACAATAGGCTGTGGGCCTCCACTTCGCTCATGGGGACCCCTACGGCCCTCCTACTCTGATCCCTGGCATCAAGGGGCATTTCTCTCAATGGCTCCTTAGCTTGGCACTCAGAGAAATTGAATTAAAATCTATACCCAGGAATCTTACCTCTTTCGTCCCTGGTAAGTCTCACTTAATATTGGATTAGGAGATTGCCTGCATGCTGCCAGATTTGATTAAGTCAGACAGCATCTTCCTTCCTGCCTGCCCAGTGGAATGCAGGAGACCCACATTAGAGAGGACTCCCCCTCTGCAGACAGCAAGTTACTAACATGAGCCCCTCAACTCTCTCAAGTCCCAGTAACCCAGCCGGTTTCCATGGGATATTGCTCTTTCCCCAAGATCAGGCAGGTGAAAGACTATGGGGTCAGAAACATCATCTCCCATCCCTATGCCAAACCAGGAATGGCTTGGTTGAGACAAGGTGAGTGAGGACCAATTGCTATGATCTGGCTGTGAGGCTCCATTTTTTCTCCATGGCAGGCTCCACTCGTTTGCTGACTGTTCTTAATAGCCCAGTTATCCATCCCAGGCATAAATGACACCCTCCCCCAGCCCTCAGATTGCCTATTCCTTGCTGTCAGAGACTCTCTCCAGATAGACTTTAAACCACAGTCACAAAAATAACATTTTCTAAGAATATTGCATAAGCCTTCTATATTCTCCACACCTTCCACTGAAGACAAGGCAAATGGAATATAGGCTGATTCCACAGTGGTGTGAGAGGAATAGGAAGTCCAGATATAGCCTGTTGACTTGCTAAGGCAGAGGACAGTGGTACAGTGACCAGAGTATTGGATAGCACAGAAAGCCATTTACCATTTAAGGAACTGACTAGCATTGCTACTGCTTCTCATCACAAAATGTCACAGCTTTTCAGAGCTAATTGCTCTTTCTTTTTAGTCCTAGTAGAATCCAGAGATAGCAAAGTTACTGAAGGCTACGATAAGCAAATTAACCACTTCACGGACACTCCAGGCTCTGGTAACTGGCACTCTGATCTCCTACTCTTGTCATTAGTGTTGAACCTCTGCGCTTGGCCCCTGGCAACTACCCAATCCCCATTCATCTGTGCACACCCCAGCCTACAGTTAAGCTCCATAAGGGCTGGCAAGAGTGGCCTGACATTCCTAGGATGACTGGTAGTAGTATATAACTGAGCCTTAACCCAGAATTATAGCACCATTTCTATAATGTCCATCGCCTGGTATCCAGAGGCTGATCAGGCCAATTAGCACTATTTAAACTGGTCAGTTACCTGAAAAGTTTGGGAGCTATGTAGATGGAACTTAAAAAAAAAGCCACAAACAAACAAAAAAACCCCACACACTTTAAACCAGTCTTGAAGTCAAAACCCTCCCTCAGAACCGCATAGCTGAAGATACAAAGAAAAGAGAAACAAGTGAAGGGAATAATGGCATAACAGTAAGGCAGCCCAATCTATTACAGACGAGGTCTGTGCTGCAGAGACATGCTATTATGTTTAATATTAGTGGCTGGTTAAATGCTGAGTTGCCCTTAATTCATTTAAATCCTATGGAGGCAGAGGTTTGAAAATCTGTCTTACAGGTCAAAAACAGACTCTGATCAGATCTGAATTTACTACAACCTCTGAACACTCTCTCTTGCATTACAGAGGCCTAGCTAAACAGAGCTTTCCTACCAAAACCAACAGGAAGAGACAAGGCAGGTTTCTGAAGAAAATAAACACATCAAATAGACAGCAATAAGGAGAGAATGGCCCTGACAGCTGGGAAAGCAGAAAGTCCTTGGCAGCGGTGTAGTTCTAATGCATGCAAAGTGCGGCTAGGTTGTACAGTGCATTCAGGAGTCAGGATGAGAAATAAAGCACCCCTTCTGCCCCCAGTTCTAAGGGCACACCATCCTCTGGGTCAGCTGTCAGCCCACCGCTCCACACCACAAAGCTACACAAGTGGAAGTTGCAGATAGACTTTGGAAGCTGCCTGATGCCATTCCTTCCAAGGGCTGAGGGGGCTGCTTTTCACTTGCATTAGGATAAGGACTGATATTCCCGTTATTCCCTCCCAGTTCGGTGTGGTTTTTAGAGTTACATCTGATGCAAAGGAGGACACAAGTCCATTGTTCCATTTTCACACAGCATTCGTTAATGCTTTCCTTTCCTGTGTTGCATCTGGCTGTTCGTACAGAGGCAGGCAAACGGTGACAGCATCCTCGCTTCCTGCACTAAGGGTCATGTTGAGCATGGGCATCGTGTACCACAAGGCAAAAGAGAACCGTGCTCAGCCTGAGCAAGTGAACAAGTTCTCAGGGGAGTTTCCAGCTGTAAGGTTTATTCTTTGGTTTTTCTAAGAGTCAGCAGCCTAGAGGGGCTTGTTAAACACTTTTCTTTGTGTTTGACATGGAAGCACCACCCCTTCCCTTAATTAAACTGTACACATTGGCACATTAGCTTCACATGTCTCCCACTCCTCCTCCTCATTAGGGGCCATCTGGGGGAGTTGTTTTCAACTGTCTAGTTTCAGGTAGTAGATGAGGAATAGTCAGCAGAATAAACGAGCTTAAATTGATTAGCAGTGCTCCTGGAAGAGTATTGAATCCAGTATGTTTGGCACAACCTATAGTGACAGCCCCACACACTAGAGCCAGCCCACTCCTGTCATGGCAGAATATTTTCACTTGCATCCAGATGTCAGCTATACTCCAGCTACACGAGGGATCTGAATTCAGCTGGCCTCCGAGGGGGGAGAACGTGTGTGTTCCCAGGGCGATGGTGCAGATGACCCCAGCTAGCCAGGTTTTCTGTTCATCTTAATGACACGTCATCTTCTCTATCTGGGAGCCAGGAGCACTGCATACATTCAGAATGTGCTCTGCATGGTGCTCAGACAGATACCACCTCACACAGGCTACCTGCATGCACTCCGAGGGACAGGTTCAAGATTTCCACATCCCATTCCTACTGTAACCAGTGCATCTGAAGGTGGGAGACCACCAATTCCAGACTGGCAGTAAGAGTGATGCTATTGTCCCCTTAGCAGCAGTCCCTGACCACTTACTGCAGAGGGAAATCTCATCTTAAGAAGCCAAGAGCATGGAAGAAATACTGACGGTTGCACACCTACAAAAGGGACAACTGCACTGCACAGCGAGAGGGCACTTTTCCCGTAAGAATGCACAAGAAAGGGTTACTGCAGAGGAAGAGTTTACAATTGCTCAAATTCGTATACATGCAGTAATGGGATCAGTTAAAGAAAAGAAGAATGACATGTAGTAGAACTGTCACACTGGGGAGATGTGTCAGGCCCCATCACCTCCACTGCTTGCACTGAAAACATGTCTGGACAAGTGGTGAAGAAGTGTAGCATTGGGAACAATCCTGCATTGACTCCTAGCATTGCAGGAATGGAAGATGGGATTTATTCCCATCTACAGCTTCTTGGCAGAAATACATAAGCAATGGTTGACAGAAATAAACTGAAATTAATTTATGCCACTTCCTGCACAGCCATATATTCAACAATAATGTGAGGTGCTAGAATATAAAATGTTATTGATTGTGCCTTCAAAGGATTAAAAACAAAGCTAATTTTTATAAGGTTTAATCAGTTTGATACTTACTTTAAAACTAGGGGTCTGTACCCTCTGCTCGCTACACTTGCCAAACCCCCCCACCACTCTGGGGATAGGTGTCTGGCAAGGGGATAGGGACGGGGCACGCTGGAAGCAGGGTGTCTGGCCAGAGGAGAGTGGGCAGGAGCGGGCTGGGGATGCAGGGTCTCGGCAGAAGGAGTGAGGGGGCGGCGGGGGAGTCAGGCTTAGATGGCAGAGAGGACCAAGCCCCAGCATCTTCCCCCCAGCAGCACAGCCCCCCAAAGCATGAAGCAGGAGCAGCCCATGCCCAGAGGGAACAGTGCAGAGGCTGGCCACAGCAAGTGGTTGAGGGTGAAGGTGGGCAATGATGGCACGTGGACAACATCATTCTGTCATCTGGCAGGAACTTTTTTTAAATTACACACACACACACACACACACACAGAGAGAGAGAGAGAGAGAGAGAGAGAGAGAGAGAGAGAGAGAGAGAGAGAGAGAGAGAGAGACACACACACACACACACACACACAGACAGACAGACAGACAGACGGGGAGACACAGATAAGTGCACACATCTCCCTGAGAATACTTAGGGTACACTGAACTGGAAGCTAAGGATGGGCTAGAACTCCCAAACTTGAATTCCCCAGTAGCATATAACCTTTCTAATGGAAAGCCAAGCCCCTAGGGAGTCACATTTAGGCGCAGTCCATAACTACAGCTCACCTTGCGTGTGAGTCTGCATGTCGCGAGCCAGCTCCATGGGAAGGACAGAGTTAACGAGAGTCGAGATAATAGCAGCGTCCAAGTTGCACATTGCTCCAAAGCACTTCAGCAACAGCAGCCGCAATGGCACTCTGTGCTCCTAGAAAGAAAGGAATCTTTCCCATGAGACAAAACCACAACTGAGTGCTCTGTGCCAGACCAAAGCCCATCAGGCAGCTTGCAAATCCACATTTATTGCAACCAGTGCAGGCTCATGAGCAGAAGTCCTAGGCAACCCAAAGCTTCAACATGTTATTAGATATGGCTCAGATATTTCCAATGCACAAGTTGATCTTGCTCCTAAACCAGCTTTTAAAAACTACAAATTTAAAACAACAACAACAACAAAACCCTCATCTTTGTGATGGGATCAGCTACTAATGACTGTACTATCGAGGCCAACAAAGGGTATTTGGCAGCAGTAGCTCACTCTGAAATACCATGCATCTCATCCCATAGTTTGACTGTTGTGATGAGACAGATGAAGAGAGACCTGGCTGTAAGATCCTTATTATGGCTCCACCAAAACCAGGTCCAGATTCACTCTGAATGCCTGTGCCTCTTAGAGGGATGCAGAAATTTCATGACCGTATCCAAGTTCTGGGTGTATACTGAGTGATGTTTTATTAAAAACTAACTGCGCTAAAATTTGCTATGCTGTGGCTGGGGACTAAGGAAGGCTCTCTTATCCATGTCTGAACAAGCCTCGGTAGGGAATGATGCAGAGAAACATTTCCATAGGCACGGAAGACAAACTCCCCACTTCTTCCTCTGAACATCAATTTCCTTCCTCAGTCCCAGGGCTCCTCCTCACTACCCACTTGCCTAATCAGAACTGTTTACTAATGTAGAGCCATGCATCAATTAAGAAAGTAGCAACCATAGCCTGTCAGCATTCCCAAGGCATTCTCGGAAATCCTTCCTTTATATTACAGTAGAGCTGCTACACTTCTGTTCCTTTGTGGGGCTACAGAGAAAACAGCAATCTTTACATTTCCGACTGCTTGCAGGTACAGTTCTAAACATCGCTCCTGAAACTAGACTCGAGTTTCACCTCCCCATCTTCCATGTAAGCTTTACACAACCCACAAGTATAATACACAGTTGTGTAAACACGCAAGAAAGGTTTTCTGAAACTCCGTGTAGTTCAAAGTCCAAACAGGGAAAAGTTTTTCATACATTTCATACTTGTTAACCTTTCTCCTTCAGGTCTACAAGGAAACCTCCAGTAGAAAGTAGGAAGAATGCAATGTCTCTTACCATCTGATAATATGTCACAAGGGACATGACTGATTCAAACTCATTCTTTTTGCACATTTTCTTGCAAATGTCAGGATCTGCATCTGTCTGGAAACACAATTGAACAGGTGAGATTGCTGACATATTGGTGTCTATTAGGAACACAGAAAAGCCCCAACTCTCTCTTCCTATCCTACCAGCTTCTCTATCCCTAGGATTTCAGTCTCGACAACCCAACCACCTTACAAAGAAATTAGGAGGACAATACAAAGACACCTCATGGGGAACCAGCTGCCCTAGAGATGCCATGACAAAAAGTGAACTCCTGGAACTGCCTCAAATTAGCATGCAGTCTCTCTCTATTTTACAGGCCAAAAGCATCGGGAAAAGGTGAACAAAGAAAGGTTTTGAAAAACTGTTTGCGTTGCAGTCGCACCCAGAAGCGCCACTCAGGGCTGGGCTTGTCATGATGAGCTCTGTTTATAGACACACACTGAGCTTGCAATGTATAATCATTTTGGTCACATTTGTATTGGCTTCCTCAAACGTGGAAGATCTCACCCTGCAGAGTTAGAAGGTGGGAGGGGAAACATGGAGGAAGCTGGATTAAGCCCAGGCTGAGAAGCTGTATGTTTTACAGCCAGTCTTCACTTCAAAACTTCGTCAACCTAGCTATGCTGCTCAGAGGGCACGAAGGTTTTCACAGCTAAGTGCTGGTCCAGCCCCTAGCTACTGTCTCTGGGAGAGACGGATTGACGACATCAGCAGAAAACCCCTTCCACTGACATAACCACCATCTATGCTAAGGCACAGCTTAAGCACTGTAGTTATGCTGCTTTAGCATCTGCAGCATAAATGTGCCCTTGGAGAAGCAGCTGAAACTCATGGATTAGGACCTTCCCCATTGGCCTTTATACAGGGCTGGAAGCAGTGCTTTTAAATAGCCTCCAGAACACCGGCAGAACCAGGCAATGTTAGCACATTAGGCTAGAACACTGAAATTGTTTGGCCTGGGCATGCTGGCCAGCCAAGCCATGAAAGAAGTTTCCAATGGACTCCTGTTTAACAAACCTCGAAGAGTTTTATCCACCTACTTGTATGCAGAGAGGTTTTGGTGGCTTTAACTTTTTAAAGATGGTTGAACAACATACTTATCACTGTAAAACATGGGCGGAGGAGAATTTTGCACAGTGGATTTAAACATGATTCCTAAGCATTGCAGACCTCAGGCAGACAGAGCATTATTCTGAAGCTTGCAACTTAAGTCCCAGGCTGCAGTACAGCATATATACATACCTACTACAGCACTTGTCTAATATTGGGTATTAATAAACAGCAACATAAGCCCTCAAGCAATTAGTCTAATGGTTTCACTAAGGGATTGTCACAAGGGATGTTAGTGTGGCACAAGCTAATGTATGACACTACAATGCCCCAGCATGCTTCAGCTTAACTCACTGTGTGGACATTGCTCAGTGCAGCATAGCATCCTGCCCTTTCAAGCCACACTCCAGGACTTTTACTGCACCATGGCAGAGACCAAACACCAACTTACTGTGCCACAAGCTAGTGTGCTACTGAGTCATGCCTGGCTTGCCAACCACAAACGCACCACAGAAACAAGCCCGCAGGAAAGAATACGGAGAGAGGAATCCAGCTTCACTAAACCTGCTGAAAGTAACCCACCAGGATATGGAGCAGCTCTTCCAAGTAGCAGCAGATGACGTTTTCATCCTCATACAGTGCCCAGCTGCGCTGCTGAGCATCATCTTTGTGCCTGGCCAGATCTGCAAAGATCACTTCAAGCCGCTGCTCATCATGGCAGATCTGTCCCGAAGGCAGCCCAGAACTCAGATTCTGCAAGAGGACAGAAAAGAAATACCAGTAACAGGGGTCCTCACAGTTAGCCATTTTTTGCAGATTGTTTTCATGGGTATCCTTTGCCTCAGTCCGGGCTTATTCACTTAACTAGCAGCAGATGGGTGGCAAGTTTAAAACACTCCCCCTCACCCACACATCGCTATGTTAGCTTCCCAATACTGTTTTCTGGTTCTCTCTCCCTCCCATTCCTGCAAAGCTAATGCATTTACTGAACCAGTGAGAGGAGGCTGCAGAGGTGCAGTCAGAACCCATCTTTACAGCTCCAAAATCTTGACCACAATGCTGGAAAGGCAGTTTGCTTTCGGAGGGTATAAAAATCACGCTTCCTTCTCATCGGAGCTTCCACTGCAGACACAAGGCTAGACAACACAGCAGCTGGTCGTCTCAATTGGATCAATGAGAAGCCTAACGCTGGACAGCGCTAACAAACATTCTTACAGCCATGAGAGCACATATCTGGGGGTTGTATGGACTGGAAAATTATAGCTCAGTACATAAAAATAATTCCCTCTCTGTTAAAAGGAAATGGAAGTGCCATATGTCTGCAAAAGAGCATGTTTTGTTGGTGCTTTGGAAGGACAGAGCTGAGTGAAGTAGTTTATCAGCTTCTGCTTGTTTTGACCACTACAATCTGTCAATTTCAAAATATTTAAAGGAAAAAAACAACCCACCACCACACTGGAGGCTCCACCCTGTAGTGCCAGCTTGCTTTCCATTTTTACTTTCCCCACATACAGCAGAGTAATAACACTTTCCTTTCCATCGGAGCAGCTCAACACATTTTAAAAATATTAATTTAACTTCACAACACTCACCTGAGTTCTATTATTCTGAGGGTAAAAATCCAATGCCCTAACAATAAACCCACCTTTTTCTGAGACGCAGATACCAAGCACATAAGTCTATAAGCTCATGGGTGGACATCCTTTGAACTCAACAGGATAAATGCAGATTGCCAGGCCAAGAACAGCAAGAGAAACTGCTCTGATACAGGATTCATACTGTACACCAGCTTGGACAACTGGAGCCAGGTCAATCAGCAGAGTGCACGCTTCTATAAGACCTGGTTTTGACCTACAAAATTGGAAGTTCCACCAGGAGCCTTTGGGATGTGATCCCAGCAATACAGAGCATTTTTCTCAGACTCTGAACTGACAGATTTTCATTATATCCATAAATAACAGATGAGTTCATATTAGTACAGAACTTCAAAAGATATTAAAGTACAGTAAGTGCTAAGTATTAGGGTTACTGCCTTTTGGATTAATCTGTGCAGGAATCAGTTTCTCTCAATTTGCTTAGGCTCTGCTTTTCTTTATATAACCAAATGAGATGACAATGCACTGTTTATGCGTTTGTATGTAGTCACAAAGATCACCAGGTCTTACTTTCAGTACAGATCTCCTAGATTAACAACAACATGTCTGGTAGGATCTACCATGTCCAAAATACTGCCCATGCACGCACATATAAAACCCCAAGATAGCCAAATCTTTGCCATGAAGGGGCCTGAATTGAAATAAAGAGACAAAGATCAGGGAAAGATTAAACTACTACTGAGACAGGTGGCAGCCCAGCCAACCACAATTTGATGGAATTTCATGTGTTACCTCCTGGGATGAGGCCTACCTGGGTGGTCGACAAATACCTTTGATGTCGGCAGGGGAGCGTCCAGACTATCGCGCTGAGCCGACAAACAGCTGATCAGCTTTGTTTGTCGGCTCAGCGCGGCAGCCATGTAAACTTAAATGAAGCGGCGATTATTTAAATCGCCACTTCATTTTACTATGTCCGGTACCCTAATCTACATGCCTCTGTCGCCAGAGGCATGTAGTCTAGACGTACCCTTAGTCTGTAAATGTAAGTTTAGCCTACATGTTCGCTATAAGCCAACTAGTTTTTGTGACTTTCATGGTAGAAGTGGAGATGGCACCAGTGAAACAGGGGACAGGTAGGGAAGGCACAGCATCAGAAGAGGTAAGAGTAGAAGGGGCAGAGATGAAAGGAAGGGGGTGTACCCAGTGTGCAGCTCTGGCAAGAAGTGGCTGAGCTGCGGCAAAAGCCACCAGAGAGCTAAAGAGTTGGCAGGGACCTGGCTTATGATAGGACAGTACCTGTAAGAAATGCAAGTTCCTTTCACCCCTGAGAAGGGGTAACATTATGTAGTGCCTTGAAGGTCAGAACAAGGAGCTTAAAGTTCATGAAATGGAGGAAGGCATAAAAAGTTCAAATTGGGAGTGACATGGTTAAGTTGATGGGCCACATTGATGAGACAAAAGAACAAAAGAGCATGGTTTACAATAACAACTGCATTGCTTTGTGCCATGGGGGGAGGGGGAGGAGGAAGATCCTCATGTCATCACTATTTCAATTTGAGAACAATTGATTCTTCATTACATGCATGGTACAATGTGCACCAGGCTCGGACTTCAGAGAGAGACAAGAGAGGATGAGAACTAAACTTACAGGTAGCAGGTTTGAAAAACTAAAGGAAGTATTTATTGACACAATGTACAGTCAACCTGTAGAACTCCTTGTCAGAGGATATTGAAGACCAGGACTTTAACAGGGTTCAAAAAAAAAAATTTACATAGGTCCATCAGTGCTATTAGTCAAGATGGATAGGAATGGTGCCCCTAGCCTCTGTTTGCCAGAACCTGGGAACGGGTGACAAGGGAGAGATCACTTGATTACCTGTTCTATTCATTCCCTCTGGGGCACCTGGCATTGACCACAGTCAGAGGACAGAATACTGGGCCAGTTGGACCTTTGCTCTGACCCAGTTTGTCCATTTTCATGTTCTTATGAATCTAGTCAACTTCATTTTTGCCACTTACGCAGCACCTTGGCCAGCAAAACTTTTGAGCAGTAACTCATTAGAAACCAGAGCAGCACAAGTTCATATTAGAAAAGAGAGCAGAAATCTTTTTTTAATATAGTACAAATGCTGCCCAGTTGTCTCAAATCATGGACTTGGAACAAGCTCTTGCCAATGCAGCTGAAACCCAGAAACCCTGAACTGCAAACTTAAGTGCAATGCTTAAGCAGGTTTATTAGAGATACACTGTTCATAATTTGATTAGTGGCATTTGAGGTATGAATTAGGACTTTTTTTTAAACTACATAACTGAAGCACTGAATCAAAGTGTTCTTGACACTGTTAATTACACAATCTTTGTCAGGCTGAGCTAATGAAGGAGGGAATGAGTTGGTTTAACTTCATCCCAATCCACTGAATACTCCTGAGAAAGGCATTTTGGGACACTGTGGATGGACGAGTGGCCAGCTAGATTACAGGCAGTCCCTGGGTTACGTACAAGATAGGGACTGTAGGTTTGTTCTTAAGTTGAATCTGTATGTAAGTCGGAACTGGCGTCCAGATTCAGCCGCTGCTGAAACTGATTAGTTTCAACAGCGGCTGAATCTGGACGCCAGCTCTGACTTACATACAGATTCAACTTAAGAACCCCCGGCATCCCCAAGTCAGCTGCTGCTGAAACTGATCAGCGGCTGATTCCAGGAAGCCCGGGGGAGAGGAGG